GAGTTCCAGGGTTAAACTGTGGGACCACACATTCTGCCCTCGAATCCCAGCTCCACTAGCACTTTTTGTGATAGTGATCAGATGGCTCATAGTCACTGACCATTTATCTGTTTTCTCAAAAGCAGAACGAAAGGAATGACTGTGTCTGACTCACAGGATGGGTGGGAAGGTCGAGAGAGTTGATCTTTGGTGAGTGTCTGTAGCCTTGGAATGACCCTTAACTCTTTTCATCGTTAATGAAACTAAAGCTTTTGTGAAGCCAAGTCACAGATGCACTGGGAGGCGAAGTCAGGTTTAAACCCACACTCATATCCTACATAGACTCATGTCCTACATATAGGCCTAGTCCTTCCTCCTCCTCTTCCCTCCTCCTTCTCCTTCCTTTTTCCTTGTTTGTTGGAAGTCTCCTACCCCTCAAAAATACCTCAGAAGCCATAATAATGGTGATGACAGCCAAAGAAACATGGCTATCGTGTCAGAAGGAATAAGATACATGATAAAGTATATGCAATAGATTATTGCCCCATCACCAAAAAAAAAAAAAAAAAAAAAAGAGGACTGATGTGTCTCTGTTCTATTTTGCCTCTCTGTTGCCATGATAAAATGCTGACCGAAACTTACTGGGAGGAAGTGTTTCTTTGCCTTATAAGCTGAAGTCCATAACAGAGGGAAACTGGGCCAGGAACATGGATAGGAACCTGGAGGGAGGAGCTAAAGCAGAGACCATGGAGGAACACTTACTGGCTTGCTTTCCATAGTGTGCTCAGATTGTTTTCATATTGTGGTGGTTTGAAACAAAAGTGTGGCCTTGTTGGAGGAAGTGTGTTGCTGGAGGCTCAGCCTCAGCTCTGATTCAGGTCTTGAGGTGAAAAGGGGCATCAGTGCAAGGGAAACTTCAGACCCTCAAGTGGATTGCACTCAATTGACCCAGAGAGCTTGAGCTGTCTTTATACTTTAACAGAGTATTTGTTTCTTACCAGGGTTTCATGAACAACTTTATTATTGGCTCCTTTTTTTTTATTCTTAAGAAATACATCATATTTTATAAATACATCGTAGTCATTATAAAAAGCCTTCATTGTTCCCCTTTATGCTTCCCCAAATATACTTTTCCACCCCTTACATAACCTTATTCTAGACATAGAGCTCAGCATTTTTGCAGGATTAGCTAAATATTGAGTCAGACACATCCCGTTCTTGCAGCATTTATGTCAGCTAACAGCCACTTGGGTATAGAAACTTAAAAATTAATAGACAGGGGTACAATGCTTTAAGGACAACAATATTCAAGCTCAAACAACTCTTTAATGTCTACAAGATATGCTTTTATACAGTTCCCTTCTCTACAAAAGGGCCCCATGTCTCAATCGCACAGACTTTGATAAGCCCTCTTTCCATCCCACTGTGCCATACATCTTTCACCAATATAAGCTCCTATCTATGGTAAAGTTGGATCTCTTCATCCCCCATTTACACTGCATTCTTCCGCATTGGAATATACTAGATCTTATCATTGAGTCTATATGGTTGGTGTCCAGGGAACTTACAACAGTTGACATGATGCATATTCCTGAGACCTTTTTCCTATTCTGCGTAAGTAAGCCTTACTCTCCTTTCCAGAACTGACACATGGTTAACGTTCCAAGTGTTGTTTTCTCACATATGCCTAATTGTCCCTATTGAGTTAGAAAAGTTCTCAGGATCAGGAGTTGTAGTTAGGAGATTTGAGAAACATTAACCCCCTTTTGGATCTTAGAGGAAAATATTTGAAAATGAGCAGAATTTCTGGGAAAAATTACAGCTGTTGTATGTGTGACTGACAAAGTAAAACTAAAAACCCACCCAAAGAATCACCAATATAACGAGAGAGAAAAGAACATGGAAGTTGTGTGAATTTTGTAAATCCCTGTGCTGTCTTATGGACTACTGATCCTTGGCAAGCGAGAGTCCATTTCCATGGGTGCCCTGCCCTGAGGGAACCCTCTGGACAGGTCATATGCTGATCCAGGAGTTTGTCGCTTTGTTGGGTGGGCCTTAAGGTCTCTTTCTCTCAAGCTTCCTTCAGTGAGTCAAGACGTAGGACTCTCAGCTCTAGCACCACATCTGCCTCTATGCCACCATGCTCCCCAACTCGGAGATAATGAACTGAACCTCTGAATACGTAAGTGAGCCATTTCAAATAAATGTTTTAATTTATAAGAGTTTAAACTGTCATGGTGTCTCATCACAGGAATAAACCCTAACTAAGACATGCATACACCCAAGGACCTCCTGTACATGAATGGCATTGCCCAAAGTGGGGGAATCTCCTTACATCAGTCAGCAATCAAGAAAATGCCTCCAGAGACATGACTATAGACCAGTCTTGATGCGGGAAGGTCATTGGTTAATCAATAAAGAAACTGCTTGCCCTCATAGGTTAGAACATAGGTGGGCGGAGTAAACAGAACAGAGGAAGAGGAAGTGAGCTCAGACTCGATAGCTCTTCTCTCAGGGGCAGACGTGATGACGCTCCAACCCAGGATGGACGTAGGCTAGAATCTTCCCGGTAAGCGCACCTTGGGGTGCTACACACATTAATAGAAATGGGCCAAGCAGTGCTTAAAAGAATACAGTTTGTGTGTTGTTATTTCGGGGCATAAGCTAGCCAGGCGGCCAGAGGCCGGGCTGTGGGAAGAGGCCCGCAGCTCCCTCAATACAGTCTCATGGGGCCAATACCTTTATAATTGTTTCCTTTTCCCAGGTGACAGTAGGTTGTGTCAGGTTGAGAAAAACTAACTAGCACTGTTCCCTGTCATTGGAGGATCCTTGAAAATATTTTGCTCTGTCATAAGAAAGAAGATATCACAGGCCATGGATTACATAATTCTGGATCCATGTGAAATCCCCAGAAGGCAAACTTAGAGTTAAAAAGCAGATTAGCAGGGGACAGAAGGGGTAGATAGTTGCTTCTCTCCATCACAGAACATTCTATGGGCCGGGGAAGACGGCTCCTACCATGTAGTGGGAACCTGAATTCAGGTCCCTATAAGCTTATACCCATATAAGCTGGGCAGGGTAGAATATGCCAGTGATCCCAGCACTCCTATGGCAGGATAAGAAATAGAAACAAGAGAATCCTGGGAAGTTTGAGGGTGAGTTGTCCTGGTGTACATAGGAGCAAACAAAGAGACCCTTTCTCAAACAAGGTAGAAGGCAAAGGACCAACACTTAAAGTTGGTCCCCACATGTGTGCTGTGACAGGTACACTCTCACACTCAAATGCACGCACATCAAGCACACACACACAATTATAGTAGCGTGTGTACATGCATGTAGAGCTCAAAGGATAGCTTTTAGGTGTTTGTTTTCGGCTCCTGACTTTTTGATGCAGGGTTCCTCTTGTTTCTGCCATGCTGTTATCCAGCCTATCTGGTTCACAGCCTTCCAAGTGATTCCCCTAACTCTGCCTCCCATCTCACTGTAGGATTACTAGGATTTCACACACATCCCACCACAGCATCTGGCTTTTTCACATGGGTTCTTAGGCTTGCAAGGCAAGTGCTTTTACCCACTGAGCCATCTCTCTGGTCATGAAAAAAATACTTAGGCTATGGCAATTCTAGCAAAAAGCTGGTATAAAGCCCTATCTCAAAGGAGTCAGCTGATGCTGAGGACCCTACTTGTAAATTTCTCCTGACAAAGAGGCTTGGGTCTTTTCATTCCTTCCTCCATGAAATCAGCTCTAGTGTGGCTTCCTCTCACTCTCTGGCTTCTAGCCAATTTTTTCTTCTTTCTTTCCTTCCTTCCTTGCTTGCTTCCTTTCTCCCTCCCTTCCTCTTTCCTTCCCTGCCTTCCTTCCTCCCTCCCTCCCTCCCTCCCTCCCTCCCTCTCTCCCTTTCTTCCTTTCTTTTATGCAAGATCTCTCTATATAGTTCTGACTGTGCACGAACTTGACATATAGAGTAGGCTGGTCTTGAACCTACTTTCGTCAACCTGCCTCTGCCTCCCAATGACTGAGATTAAAGACATGCGCTATCACACCTGACACAATATTTCTCTTAAAATTATTTCATTGCACTCTCCAATGAGCTTGCAAGGGAAATCAACAGAAAGACAGACAAGATGTACATTTTAAAATCCAGGAACTGCTAGGTTTTACTGTCTTTCTCCTTAGTTGGTGGCAAATTGTTCCACGCCTGCACGCCTGTCATGCTATAAATAAAATGATTTAATTTTTTATTTCACCTGCTGGAGCTAACGCATCTGCAGCAAAGCCCACACACGTTTCCTGCCAAGTTCCATTCAGAATCTTACTGCTGTGCTTGGAATCACCCCAGCAGCTTCTGGTGCCCGAAAATATACTCTGAACTCCCAGCCACCAAACTTTAGAATACTGCGGCATTCACCCTGCCTGCTCCCAGACCCATGCTTTAGCGATTCTCCAGCTCACCCAACTAGCCCTCACCAAAATGCTGTCAGAGTCTTCAGCCCTGCAACGGCTGACACCCACTAGCCATAGCTTCTTCTCATGCTCCCTCTACCACCTTTTGTTTCCACCTCAAAGCACCTCTCCTGGAGTCTAGAGAAATGGCTCAGCAGTTTAGAGAACATGTTGCTCTTTCAGAGGACCTGGGTTCAGTTCCCAGGACCTTCATTTTGGCTCACTCTTGATAACTCCAGTTTCAGGGGCTCTGATGCCTTCTGGCCTTTGTAGGTACTGCACGCACATGGTGTTCATACATACATGCACACATTCCTTTAGGCAAAACACTCATATGTATAAGTCAATTTTCAAAAAATAAAAAAAAACTTTTTAAAGACTTCTCCTGGTTATTCTAAATAAAAGGTCTTCCTCGTTGTGCCCCATCAGACCTCCATATCCATGTTCTATTGTCATTCTTTCCACAAGTATAGTCACATGGGGAGAACTGTGTTGTTTCCAACCAACCACCACTACATCCAGAGCCAAGAGAAGGAGACAGTCTCTTCTGAATTCTGTATCTAAAGTTTATGTCATGATACTTATATGGCCAGGGAGGTACCATGATCACATGTGGTTTCCCCAAGGTGAAGTTTATCCATTACACTCCAGATGTGCTGGCCCTGCAAGTTCCCCAAATTTGGGAAACTTGACTGCATACTTGTGATAGTGGAGGGCTGTGTTCTCACTCTCCTCTGGCAAAACAATAAATTTAAATCATTAATCCCAACCATGAATGAAATGGCATTATAAATGGTACATTTTGGGGTGATTGGTTTTAGACGAAGTGACGAGGGTGCTGCCTCCTTGATATCATTCCTGTTTGATATGGTGGGAAAGACACTGAAACCAGACCTCCCCCCCCCGTGTTTCTCTCCCTCCATTTTTTGCTCTCCTCACTATGCAAGGGTATACTAAGATAGCTGAAGCCTGAAAGACAACGTTCAGATCATTCTAGAATTTCCCCACCCATTTTTCCCATCTAGAGAAGCCAGATTCATAGCAGCTCTTTGCAGCACCCCACAGAATGTGTCGAGAGGGAAAGTTAAATATAGAGGCCCCCTGAGACTCTTCGCCATCCAGAACTGTCTATTGACAAGACCAGTCTTGTGCAGACCCAGTCCAGGTAGCAGAATCTACTCCAAGCTCATGATATATTGGGTGTGTCGTACTCAGAAGATGGTATATAATGGCCCTATCTTCTGCCTCTCACATTCTTTCTGCCTCCTCATGTAATGGTCCCTAAGGCCTAGAACAATGGTTCTCAACCTGTGGGTCATAACCCTTTTCAGGGTCAAAGGGGGCTTTCACCTTGCTCACATGTCAGATGACCTGCTTATTAAATATTTGCATTACTATTTGTGACAATATCCAAATTACAGTTATGAATTGGCAACAAAAATAATTTTATGGTTGGGTTACTACAACATGACAAATGTCTGTATTGCTGTATTAAAGGATCACAGGATTAGGAAGATTGAGAACCAAGGCCCTAGAGGGAAAGGTATATCTTGCTGAACAATGAGCTCAACTGTCGCTTATTCTCAGCATCTATTCAGCCATGAGTTGCCGCATTCACCACTGTTGGTCGCACAAAGACAAGGTTCTTTGGCTAAGGTTGAGTAACAATTATATATGGGTATACATATATTTAGAAGGTAGTGTGATGCTATGTCAACTTAGCTGGAAATGGTACCTTGTTCCCTCTGAGAGCCCATGAGTTCGCTAGCCAAGTGATTCTGACTAGATTTACAGTAGCAAGCATAGATTTCCTCCCACGGAGCATATCTCAAATCTAATTAGAGAGTGCTTGGTTATCCCAGTAAGAGTCGTGCCTCTATGCCACTAGGGGACAAATTGTGCCAGGCAAGGTGATGCTGTAGTTTGTAAATTTCACACCCTCTCTGCTGAGATATTGGCTAATGATAAAATCTTGGAGAGAGGGAGTCATTGCCTCTAGTTTTGGACTTGCTGGCGAGTTCACCAGGCTCCAGTGGATACTTCCAAGCAGATGATGATACAGACACCAATAGTTAAACTCTGAGTCTCCAAACAAAACCAAAAGACATGAATGAGAGAAAGGGATCTATAGGGAGGAGGGAATTTAACAAGGGTTTGGAGGGAGATGAGAAGGGCATGTGGGAATAAAGGCAACCATGGTGTGATATAAACAGGTATGAAATTGTCTGATAACAAATTAACTAAAAACAAAGCAAGAGGAGTATATTTAGACGACCCTATGGAAACCATTCAATCTAGAGACGACTTCTATAACTCAAAGAGGAAGCATCCCAGGGAACTCCTAACATAAGTGTCTCCCAAATCTCTACATCTGAGGGTTGAAACATTCCAAGAGAAGCAAGCAGGCTGCAAAATTGCAAGGGATGTTCATTGAAGTTCTGGATAGTACCACTAGATGTCAGTATTCAGTGTGCCCGTTGTTTAAGGCCAAAATAGAAATATTGAGGAGCAAGTAAGTATCTTACAGGCTAAAATCCCGGGAAGGGTTACTTTCAAGTTCCTAAGCGATGATCTCTGCAGTAAATTACTGCAAACCTAATACCTTACAGAAAGTCATCTACATTTAAGACAGTGAAGTACACGTATCTCTTCAAAGCCAGTGGATTCCTGACCAACAGGCCTAGCACATGACTCCTGTATTTTCAGTCTATATGTTTGCTTGTTTGTGATTTGACATCTTGAGGTCTTGAAAACTCTATAGAGGACTTTTCTAGATATGTTATCACATGTTAAACAACTCATCTGTTATGATGTTTAATTTTGGTTGTCAACTTGATTGCTCCTGGGCTTCACTAAGGGACACACCTGTCTGGGGCAGGACATTTCCTGTGACTATGATAAAAAAAAATGCTCTGACAAAATCAATTTGAGGGAGAAAGCGGTCATTCGACTCACTTTTCCAGGCTGCAGTCCATCATGGGGAAGTTAAGGCAGCAGGGATTTGGAGCAGCCAGTCACATTACAACCACAGTCAAGAGCAAAGAGCAGTGAACCCTAGCACTCAAGGCATTTCCCCATTTTTATACAATCCGAGATCCTCTGCTTGGGAACTGATACCACCCACAGTGGTCAGATCTTCACTTAAATCAAGACAACCCCTCAGGGACATGCCCATCATCCAGGATAATCTAGACAGTCCCTTATTGAGGCGCCTTTCCTAAGCGATTCTAGATTGTGTCAAGCTGATAAGTAAAAGTAAGCATCAAGAGTGCATTTCCTAGAACCATTAGGAGGAGGAAGATCTTGCCCAGAATGAACTTTACATTATGCTGCTCAGATAAAGTCCTGAGAGAAAAGCAGGCTGGGTCTTGCCTGTCTGCTTAAGCCTTTGCTGGTGAGTGTATCCACACTGTGGTTGCTGCCTCTGCCACCAACCATCCTTTGCTGACATCAGAACCCAGATTTTCAGCCTTCCAATATGGATTGAAGGTCAGTGGCTCTCCACAAATTCTCTAGGCCTTCAACATTAGATTAAGACAGCTGAAGATTGGCTGGATAGATGGCTCAGTGGTTAAGAGCACTGACTGCTCTTCTAGAGGTCCTGAGTTCATTTCCCAGCACCCATATGGCAGCTCACAACTGTCTGTAACTCCAGGATCCAGATACACATAGAGGCTAAAACACTGATACAGTAATTTTAAAAAAAGACCGCTGAGGCATCTAGCTTTGTGGACTGAGCAGCTTCTGGGCTCTCATTCTCTCTAATGTTCAGACAGTCACTGTTGGACTCCCAGTCCCTATTGTGTCAATCAATCCAATAAAGCCACTATATGACATCCATTCTTGAGACCCTCTCTCAAAAAAACAAAATGAAAAATAAAAAACATTCTGTCAATTTTGTTCCTCTAACTAAACCTGGCTGTTGTATCTGTGATTGTGGTTTCCCTATGTAGACCACACAATCTAGAATCTAACCACCAAACCCACACACATCATCCACCCACTCCTCTGTTGAGCCTGTCATGGCTCAGGTTCTCTGTCCTCAGCATTCCAAGACAGGTACCAGGCTTTAAAGTCACCCTATCCTGAGAGACACTGAAACTATTAGTGTTAATTAATTCTAAAATTGATTTTCACAAATACATTAATGTATCTCACTCACGAATTCCCCTTATTTTCAGTGCCTCTTGACTGGCCTTGTGCTTCCCCGTGTATTTTTGTGTGGCACAGCACATCCCTTTGTCTATAAAAAGCTACCCTTCAATGGATGCTCTCTTCTTATCTGTTGGTTTCATCTTATCTGTATTTTAAAACATCTTGATGCCTGAGTGAAATGAGAGATAGGGATGTGCATCCCTGGTGTTTGGGGTTGGAAGGATGCCACTGTGAACATTAGACCAGGTCACCTTTGCAGGGCTCACAGAAGGCTCGATGCTGCAGAGTCTATGTCTGGCAAAGAGTAAGCTGCCTAGAAATGAGAACAGCCAGAAGGTTGCCTGAGGGGAAGATTGGCCCCAGGGGAGTCATGGTAAACAAGAGCATAAAGGGGCAGGGCTGGACAGCAAGAGTTAGCGCGTCACACACAGGAACTGGAAGAACTGTGGAGAAGACAGATTCAAGTAACATCAGGACTCCTCCTAGCCAGAGTCCTGACGTCATCCGAGTTTTCTTTTTCATTTGCAGATGCCTTCTGCACAGGTGAGCCATCCTTAATCCCTTGTGATGCTCCTGCAAACAGTGAGATGGAGACAGACAGAGCAACGGAGACAAATTTTCTTGGCCAAGCTGAAGGTGATAAACAGTCTTTGCAAATCTTCCAACCCTGGAGATTAGCTACAAAGTCATGTCTCAAAAAAAAAAGGACAAGCGGGACATAGGTAGTGGCACCTGGCTGGGATGCTGTTTTCCAGTGAAAATGAGGAGGGGGATGAGGATGTAACTCAGCTGGGAGAGCACTCACCTAGCATGCACGCAGCCCTGGGTTTGAGCCCCAGCACCACATAAAAGTGGGTGTGGTAATATACACCTGTAATTCCAGAACTCAGGAGATGGGGCAAGAGGATTAGAAGTGCAATATAGTAAAGTTGAGGGAAACCAGATTGTACTACTTGAAACTCTGTTGTCGCGGGAGGTCCTTCCGCTTCTCCAACCAATAGCTGCTGAGATACCAGCCCATTGGGGGCGTGGTCTCTCTCCCTTTAAAAAAGCAGCTACTTCCCTCCACTCGCTCTCTCTTCACTTCCTGCTCCGCCCGTGACTAGACTCCCTTCCTGGTTGCACAGAGGGCTGTTGTCTGGGATGGTGATCTGTAAGTTTTTTCCTCTTTAAATAAATACCACCCTATTAATCATAATTCCAAACTGGCGTGGCATTGGTTGTGACTTACCCCTTCACTCTGTCTCGAAAGAGAAGAAAAAGAAGAAAGAAAGATAGGAAGAAAGGAAGGGAAGGAGGGAGAGACTGAGGGAGGCAGGGAAGGAGGAAGGGAGGAAGGAAGGAAGGGAAGGAGGGATGAGTCATGTTAGCCAAGACAGATCATATGCACGTCATGGCAGACACAGCAGTACTCCAACTAATCCACAGGATGGTTTTATGAGTTGAATCTAAGATGCACCCACAGCCCCTAAAGGCTCTTCTTATAAAGTCTTATCATCAGCTGGTGGCGCTGTTTAGGGAGGTGGGATCTTTAGGAGGGGTCTGACTGACAGAAGTAAGTCGCTAGGTACAGACACTTCAA